TGCTTTTTGACCCAGGCAACATCCCCATTATGTAGTTCTTTTTAATACAAGTAATACTTAAAATAAAAGGAGAACACCCACAACTGTAATGCTATATTGTTAGGTGAATAAAGAAATTTTATATTGTCTGCCCTAAGCCCCTATTATGCGTCTTCAAACGCAATATACCAGTAATATCTTAAGTGGACGCAGAGGCGATTTTAGGGAAGGTAACTTTAATAGCCTAGCACGCGTTGTTATGTCTTTGGCACCTGTTACACCTTTAATAAGCGGTGGGCTGAAATAGTCTCACTATTATGACTTTCGCTTTCGTTTTACTAGGTTCTACTGAATGTTTTGCTATCAGTGACATTCTGGCTTCATCATTATGCCACCTTAGTATTGTCATGAACCGTAGGGCACGTGGATTAAGACAGTTATGCAGTTTCTATTCATCAGACAGATACGACCTGCAAGCTTTCAAGAAGAGAGCGTATCTTCACCTTAAAGGCCGACAACGCACCTGTAACGCCCCTGGGTCTGCGGGTGTCTATGGGCGACGGTAATCACTTACCATCAGGTGATCCGTCTGCTCGTTTGCCTCCTGTAACATAAAAAAAAATCACTTTGTTTCATTAAAAACTATGATGTAACATATTCGTATCATTGGCAGGGGTTAATAGGGATTAGTAAGGATACGCGAATACAGATAAATAAATCCTCAAAGAATTCTAGATTTTAAGTCCTACATTCTTTAGATAACTTTATACATCAATCGAAACATTACATCACTTATTTTCATAACTTTTGTTAGAATTTCATCAATAGATTTGTTTTCATATCAAATTGAATAGGGGAGAATGATCGATAGACTGGTATAGACATACGTGTAATGGATAATTGCGCCATTTCCCATTCGTCACTATGTTTAGTGTTGGGTCAACACTACTTGGTCAACGTAAATTCACCGCACCAACGAGGCCATAGGAACAGCGTTTCAGTACTTTATTTATAGACTCATCGATGTATTTTTGAAATGCACATTATTTAAATCCATATAGCTCAACACCTTTCGGTACAGTGAAATAGCTTGCCGTTTAAATTTTAACAACAATTCCAAATAGTTTGGTCTAAAATTGAAATCGACTTGGGCTCGCAGTGATAAATATTTAGAGTGGGAGTTAATCTTATGTTGAAACGCAACTCGACCTTCCAAGGGCAAGAATAATTGCTAACAACCTTAGTAATTTAAGGGTTGTTCAAAATGTGAATAGTTACACGATGTTCCTAACTCAAAAGAAGCTGTTTAAAATGTAGTTCCTGACCTTCTAAAGTAAGTATTTGTCTATGCTTACATCAAAAATAAATCAATGAACTTTTGAGAATGTGGTCGAAGGTACAGAATACCAGCATCATGTTCTATAGAACCTGTTGCACGCTGAGTAGGTGCCATTTTGGTTCAATAAATTCTATCAAATCTATACTTAATCTTATAAATGCGAAAGTAACTCTGTCTGTCTGCCTTGCTTTCACGCCTAAACCACTAAACCGATTTTGATGATATTTGGTAGAGATAGTATGTGTCCCGGAAAAGGACATAGGATGCTTTTTATCCCGGTTTTTGATACAGGGACACGCGCGATAATTTTTTTCTGTGACAGACAAAATTATTTCTTTAAAGGTTATTTAGTTAGTTATATGATGTTAATTATATTGTGTTAAACTATGTTTAAAGCAAATAAATTATGTTTCTTTTTTTCTCTCTATTGAATGCCTGAAGCACTTTTACGAGCACTAGTTGTTTTTCTCCGGAATAAAAATAACTTTAATATATGAGTCAACTCTAATTATTTATTGGTTCGGAACGGACTACTATGCCGAGAGGTCCCGGGTTCGATTCCCGGCCGGGCAGAAATTGAAATGATGAATTTTTATTTCTGTGATGGGTCTGGGTGTTACTATGTATAATATGTTTATGTATGTAGGTATTTACAAAAAAATGTTTTTAAGTAGGATGTTATATCCGTTGTCTAGTACCCATATTACAAGCTCTGCTTAGTTTGGGACTAGAAGCGTAGTGCAGTCCAAGGATATTTATTTATTATTTATTATAATCAAAAGTACTTAGTTTGGGACTAGTGGCGCAATGTAAAATGTCCAAAGATATTTTATTTATTTATTTGAAAACATAATTTTATACAAATGTATTCAATAATATCGTGTAGATGATCCATACAGAATTTTACATTCACCATTTGTATTTGTTTAGATATTTTGAGGAAAAAATTAATTAATAATTCTTAAAAATCTTAGTCTAAGGCTGGGTTACACAACCTTACTTTAATTTTAACAAACATCAAAAATCGACAAAATCCATACAAAAATCACTGGTTATCGTTATGGTTACGGTTAAAGATAGGTAGGACTATAATGCAACCCGTGCAATATTACAATATTTTTTTAAGTCTCAGGACAAGCATAGTGTTGAGAAAAAGCGACTTTGACTGTCAATTGAAACTAAAACCTTAAAATATGAGTTTCATAGTTGGATTTTTAAGTACTCATCTTAGGTCAAAATATAAGTTTAAGTAGGTACCTACATTCGCCTCAGATAAACTACAAAATCATTAAATCCTCTTATTCTAATTTAATGGAATTTGCACTTTACTAGATTATTATAAGGTTTATAATGAATTGACAAAAGGCTTTATGTCATCCCAAAGGAAAGAACCACTTCCCTTAATATCATTTGATCATATTAGTAACACATTTTTTTACTTTTTCATAAAATCACAATAGCTTAGGCCCAGAACAGACGGTGAAACGAAACTGCAACTTTCTGATGATTCTGATGAACGAAACTGAAACTGAAAGTTTCAAACTGGTCGCGTCATGTGTGGTCTCTCAACGGACGCTATGGCAAAAACTTAGATGCAACTCAAAAGTAACTAGTAGTTGCAGTTTCGTTGCAGTTGCGTTTCACCGTCTGTTCTGGGCCTTAGTGTTCGAAAACCACAGTGACACTAGATTCAGTTCTACTTATTGTTTTTGTTCAGCTAGCTCTTAACTCGTAACATGGCTTATCACCCATGTTACGAGTGATATAAAGTTAGGAAAGGTTTTCTGGCGCTAAAAGTCGCACAATAGGTATTGCAAAACCGGGTTCACTGCCTTCTTCGACACCGAAATGGACACCACTCAATTAAAACAACAATATTTTTGCCCTGAATGACGTCATAACAAAACAGCGTTGTCACAAAATTATGTGTACGCTTAATAATTTTGCGGCGTATTTGTTATTGTAAAGCTATAAAATAACAAAGTTTAAAAAACCACGTGGCTGATAATAATTCTTTCGTTGGGTGAATAAAGATACAATTTGATATTTACTCTAACCGTTAATAGCGTTCTGGTGTGAATCACTCGGTGGGGCATTCGTTATACGGGTAGCACTGGCACTATTATACAGGGCGGAATTTTGTAATGCCACCTGGAGGGAAAGTACTCTTAATATTGTAGATAAAAATTCTTTTTTGTTTGTCACACCCGGGAATCGAACCAACTAAAATCTGTTAAAAATTACACCTTGTATTTTTATTACACCGATCGTTAGGATTAAGGATAAGGATGAAATCTCTCTAACAAACTTGATAAATCAAATGAAAGGAAAACCATGAAATCTTAAATTTATTTTTTAATTATGTTACAAAAAATTGTATAGTAGGTACTATCGGGGACTCGAACGCCTTGACACCTTAAGGGCCTAAATTGNATTCGAAAATCTTGAATTCAGTTCTCTTTCTTTTCAAAAATAAAGGAATGTTTTCTTTCAGTAAAATTTTCTATCTACAGTAGTATTAAGAGTACTTTCCCTCCAGGTGGCATTACAAAATTCCAACCTGTATAGTTAACTACTCTGAGATTAAAGAAATCGGAATTAGATAGTGATCATAACTAGTTTTGTACTAGCATTTTGCTCGTGTAGATTTTGGATTAGAAGAAAGACTGACTAATTATTAGAAGTATCTATGCTGGATATAGTTTAACCATTATGATAAAAAATCATTACCGCGCAAAATATATTATTATTGTTAGCAAGCTTTCGTAATGAAACTTGACACGTTGACATCGTGAAGGCCTTAAGCATACACTAAAATTTGCAAATTTACTCCATTTGACCTAAATAATGATGAACTGTGTCACCTACATTCAATTCAAGTGGGACCAATATTTGCTAAACTTATGAAGCAATAAATATTTTGACCGCAAAGTGCACCATTTTGTTGCAATTTGATACATCAAATAGAATTTTGTAAAAACTACTTCTAGATTATGAACAAGTTGAAAAAATCGATGCCTAAGGCGGGTATCGAACCCACGACTTTTCACTGGCCGGGTGACTTCTCTTTCATCTGAGCTACTTAGACACTGGACAAGCCAGTCGACATTTTTCAAATGAAATACGCTACTTATTATGGTCAGCGTTTGTTGGGTAGAAGGTATTTGACTGTAGATGATACTTCTAGATTTTCCCTGTTTTAAGACGTAGCAAACTAGCAAAATTAGGTTAAATATAAGGTATTATGGTACAGAATTGCGCTGGATGCAGGCCGCTACCAACCGTGCGATGTGGAAGTCATAATTGGGGGAGGCCTATGTTCAGCAGTGGACGTCCTGTGGCATAAATGATAATGATGATACAGAATTAAATATTTTTGGTAGAATAAAACATATTCACACTATATGTAACCTACATATTGGTATTTGACCGAGTCACTCCATCCACAAAAGCCACACGTCGTAAAATCTTTGAAAACAATACCATAATTTAAAAGAACTTAATTTAAGAATAGTTTCATTTTATTCTAAAACAAACAAAAGATAAAAAACGAGACTCAGCATTAGTTTCATGATAAAGAATTTTAGAAGTGACAATAACCAAGATAAGTGAGTGGGACTAAAACTGTTGGATTTCTGGGTTTATCTGACGTGTTTTGATGTAACCGTGTTGCTCTCGACAGTTTATCAGTTGTATTTCTTGATAGCTCTCTGAAATTATGAATGTAAATGGTTTGTGATTGGTTGCCGAGTGAAACTTAGGGATGCGGCCGTCAAACCGCACGGCGAATTCTAAGGACCCGAAGTTGCGACTCCTCCAGGGTCTGATACGGGAGTGCTTCACTGTGAACACGACGCACAGTGAAGTTGAGGCGAACAAGGAACCGAGCAAAGGTGAGTGTATTGTTTTTTAACTTTAGATTTATTGTGAGTAGTTGTATCATTTATTGATGTATGGGAATGCTTTATGGTGTATTTTATTCAAAATCACAAGAAAAAAATACCAAGATAATTGATGGTTTATAACCATTCATACTCCAAAAATAAGGACGTTTTAGTATGTAACAAGTATGTACTCCTACACGTCTATTTCTGTAAGTTTATCTATGAAATTACATGGCTGCTTATTTTAAGACTAGGTACAATCAAATTAAGCCATTCCATGTTTGTTTATCAGAGAAGCAAATACGAGTAATCTGTTGCAAGTAATCTGTTTACATTTAGTCTAAACCTTACGAGCATTTCGGAAAGCCACTGAGTTGTTGAGATCCAAATGACTGGTAGTAATACTGTTTATTATTGAGTCTTCGTAGCCCTTCAAGTACCTACCAGCGAATCGAGACACAATAGAAATTAAATGTTTCGGTCTCATGTGAAAATGAAAAATTAAAATGAAATATGTGGTCTCATAATAACCACTGGGTTCCACGAGCTAAGGACGTCGCACAATTATCAACCCGGAAAGGGATCGTAACCGTATCAACATGAGGCGGTCAGTATTCTTTTTATGAAACTCCATACTGCAACGCACACTTAGTGGCATCGTAACATATACGCCTCGCCAGGCGATTGACATGGTGATGATGGCTCGCGTACGGTGTTGATATCCCTTTCCGAGTTGATAAGTCAGCTATGAGCTTTAGTTGGACGAAGTCGCGGGCGGTCACTAGTCAGTCATATTTGAAACGAACTTTAACTCCCCGATAAAGAATTGAGTTCATATTGACCAATAATTATGAGATAATAAAATTTATTCTTTGCATTATAACATGCAATGCTCTTATCACACATCAAGTTCAATTTAAATTAGCATGATTACTGACAGTTTTTATTGTTTTATTATTTAAGTTTACAACTGTTCTAATTCAATCGAGTCCTAGTTGATACTGTGGCTGGATGCGATCTATTATTAATCTTAGCTAAGCATGTTACTATAACGCTTCCGAGTCCTACATCTATTAAATAATGTCTTAATTAACTTTTATGGAACAATTTATGTCTTAGGTAGGTACTTTCCCTGGACCTAAGACGAGTTCGACCGGTGTTAGCTACGGAATAGCAAGAGCAAAGTTTTTAAATAAACTTGATCTAACATATTATGAGATAAGAGTAATTATATCTTTACTAGCTTTTGCCCGCACTTCACCCGCGTAACAGATCGTCATAAATTATAGCCTATTCTGGGTTATAAACAATAATACTGTAAAGTGTCATCAAAATCCGTTCAGTAGTTTTTGCGTGAAAGAGTAACAAACATCCAGACATCCAGACATCCAAACTTTCGCATTTATAATATTAAGTAGGATTAGTAGGATTTATTCATCTTAATTACGTGGAGATAACAGTAAATTCACTCTAAAAACCTGGAGGACTACCACGAACAATGAAAAACGTCCAATTGAAGCACTCGATCCGATATACGATACGATGTTGGTTGCTCGAGATTCAGTACAAGTAGGTATTTGAAAACTGATAGTTTTTCATAGTAAGAGGCCTTATCGTCTGATTCCAGAGTTTGGTTTCGTTCGAAATATTATCGTGTTCGTTTTTCTTGAACTGGATTAAGTAACATAGGATCAAGTCAGTTTTTTATTACCTTACAGTTTTATTTAAAAGAGAGTTAGCTATCTATCTCTCTGTTATTGTTATTATTGCAGTCTTTACAAATGCTAGTGCTATAGAAAGAAACTCAAATAAAATAACACTTTAATATGATCGATGAATGTTTTGAAAATGAAACAATCATAAGCTTGCATCTATTCTCGAAATGTTTCATTAGTATAGGAACTAGCTTTATAAAATGAAACGTAAGGAATAATGGCAAATCTATGTATATTTCCAAATAAGCAATCTGTAGTTGATTAGTGTTTATAACATTTGTGTAAGTAATAATCTGATAGATGCCATTAGTAGGTGCTTGGATGGATGATAAGATACTGGTAGGTAATTAGATTCAAAACATTTTGCAACGGTAATCGCTACAGAAGATCATTTTTCTTAAGCCGTTGAGGGCCCGCAGTAGAACTATAAATTGTCACAATTGTTATACATTGAGGAAGAAAGCAGCGGCAGTGTTTTTGCCATCCTCCGCCGCTCCATGTACGAGTAATATCTCATGCAAGGAGGGTAAAGGCAATATCTTGTTATCCCTTTCACAAAAACAGTGAAGACTGTCGCAGCTAAATGGTATTTTTATTCAAATCACGTCGTTTTATTAAATACATCCTTTTAGTCTGTAAACCCGGCAGATTGCATTGTTGGCTTTTGCTTATTCCAAGATCATATTTCAGCAGTTTATTTTGTAGGCCGTTTTCAAGAAAAGATAATAGCCGCTGCTACATACAGCAATAACAAGTTTAGTTTGTTTCTATTTTATGTAGTGGAAAGCCTTTGAAAAACCTTTTCTTGTTCATCTACGGTAATACATTTAAGGTGGTAAATAACCTCATTTCCGCTGCAAATGGGACACAGAAAGTAGTTTTTATTCATTGAACATCAGAGCGTCAGAGTAGTGTTTTCCTCATTTATAACAAGATACAGTGAATCCACTTAAATGCTCTCATAATATTTGGTTTGGAACATGAAAAATACCAAATAATGTTTAATTGAGAGTAGATAACTAGACTGGATGCTTATCGTAAGTGTAAAATGGTGCAGTGGGCGAGAAAGCTATACGGAAGCCAAAACCTGGATAAGGACACCTGTAGCATAAAGCGATATCAAACTATGTGTCCCTTACTACACCTCTCGCACAATACGAGTATCTCACGACAGAATTACTTTGCTTTTTATGTGAGCATGACTAGGAAAATAACTCTGTTTACACTTCCGTGAGAGTCTTTCAACCACCTCTGTGATCTAGTGGTAAGACCACCTAACTGTGCCAATAGGCATTTATTTATTTATTTAGCATTTATCGCGACATGCTCAAAAGGGCAAGTCACGAAGCTGGTCTTTCGCGGACGTCCTTGCTTATTGCGCATCCCTTGGAGAAGACACCGACTAAAAATAATGTAACCGTGATTAAAAAAAACAGTAAAAGTTTGATGTCTCTCCAAGAGGCGCGCAACGCAAGGTTGTGTGTATAATACGGTTACAGTAAGCATCAAGAATTACAAATTAATTTACTAAACAAAACAACAGAAGAGAAGAAAATAAAGAAACAACAATAACCTCGATAATCGAATTATCGATTAATCGTACAGATGATATCGTATTAATTAAAATTAATCGGCTTGACAACTCCAGTGTGTAAATATTTTAGATGATTGATTATTCCAAAGAAAGACAAGAGCTTCCTTGTTGTGCATAAAAAACCTCTGTCAACACGCAGTATTATAATAAATAAATTATACTGTAATGTTTTCAAGCTTCACCCACTTCCTTGTAGTTTTGTAAATAACTGGATCACGATTAACAATAGAGTCATCAAAGAAAGTTAGTAACTTAACCTCGGAATATAGTTAAAAGCAGATTCAAGGCGGTGTCAATAAGTCATTGTTTGGCTAAATCTTCATAAATGACACAGTTAGTAAATTGTGAGTACAATGCGAGTGTAATCACTCAATTGCGTATTCAGTGAATAGAATTGACCAAATTAACCAAAAAGAAGCAAAATATAATGCAATGGATCCAATAGAATATAGAATACTCAAAACTTCAAAAATTTTGTTTCAACTAGCCTGATTAGCACAGTACATTAAATTTAATTAGGCATGAATATTTTTTGTTGCAAAATAGCTCTTAAATACAAATACATAACATGTAGCTGGATTTGCCGACCAAAATGATGAAATACAACCATTTTGCATATTTCAAAGCTGCTATTCATAGCATTCATTTAAAAACTGATAACGAATGTTATTTTGAAATAGATTGCAAGCCTACGAAAACATCGAAAAGCAATCTCAATGAGGCAATAGAACTCCACAGCAAATAGTAAATTTCCGTGGATAGAGTACACTTACATTTCCAACGAACATTTTCAGTTATTGATTACTTATTCAGGCTTAGTCTATACGAAAATATTTGCTTTTAGCGACGATTTTCCGGAAGCATAGCGCAATTGTGAATTGCTTTAAAGCTGTGATATTGCAAGATATACTTTTACAGATGCATATGCAGATGCATATACTTTTACAGGCCTATTTTGTAAGTTCAACTTTGGCACTCGATTTAAACTTCGTTGTCTTTTGAATGGAGAATTGCCGATTTACAAATTGATGCGTTTTCCATTCAAGTCTTTCGTTTTAATAACATTGCTTAAATGTTAATGTGAACTTCAAAAATAATAGACCTCCCTCCCCATCAGGCCATGCTAGAGAAGGTCGTGTCCCTGCAGTGGAGAGCAAATGATCTGGTGCTGATGATGACTCATAGACTAATAATAATTATCTTTTGATACGTTATCGTTGGACTACTAAGTATTTATGCCACATCCTTTTAGGACTTCCTTGACCACCTCCGAGTAAGCCTAGGCGCAGACCGACGTTTAGTCGACCGATGGTTGACTTACTTGACTTATGGTCCTATGTCCCCTAGATGGGGCAGAGGGCGTCCACAACAGTCCTCCATCTCGTTCGGTCTTGAGCTTCTCGCTTGATCTCGCTCCAGGTCTTCGCCTCGTCCCGTTTTTAATTTATATGAAAATCTAATCGGTGTAATGTGCGCACTTCCATTTGGGCAAGAATGGAAGTGCGCACATTACTGATTATACTGATTAACTGCCCGACTAAACTATCGGCCGGCAAAAAGTTGGTGGACGGCGCTAGGCTAAAGTGTCAAGTAGGCTACCCGTTGCTTAAAGTTGGTTAATAAAGTTTACTCGGAGATCATGACAGAGGCCCTTAGTGTTACTAATGGAAACTTTTAGAAGACCAGCGGCCGTCCGCGACCTCGTACGCGTGATCCCGTTTTAGGAGTGGAGTTTCATAAAATCCGTTCTTAGCGGATGTATACACCCTATAAGGTAACTACCTGCCAAATTTGGAGTTTGTAGGTGTTATAGTTTCTGAGCTTTCGTGATAAGTGAGTCAGTCCCTTGACCTTTCAGTAACCCTTTTATACGTAATAATACTAGCGGCCGCCCACGAATTCGTACACGTGGACTCCGTTTAACCCCCTTAGAGGTTTAATTTTGCAAAATCCCGTCACCTACGTTCTAAAAGGAACCCCCATGCAAAATTTGAGACTCCTAGCACTTGTAGTTTCTGAGATTTCGTGATGAGTGAGTGAGTGAGCCATTGACCTTTCGCTTTTATGGATATAGATGGATTGTCTTTTAACAGATGGCCTGTACTGTCCAAGAACCTTCGATGGGTTCGCGTGCTGGGACGAGACTCCCGCCGACGCCACCGCCTACCAGCCATGCCCTGACTTCGTCATCGGCTTCGACCCTCGAAGATATGCTTATAAGAGGTTAGTACAGAGTATTATTTGATAAAAATGATTTCATAGTAACAAAAATGATGCATGTGCGTCTCGTCGTCGTGATGTTTCACGGAAACTTTTATTTGGCTCCAAATACCACAAAAGATAAAAAATAATAACGTCAATGCAAGTGAAGTGATGAGACTAAATGAATTCCGATTGAGTTTTTATCATAATCTAAATTGCTGCAAAACTGATTTAGTGAAAATATCCCTACACAACCAAGTACTATTTTCGTGTGGTACAAAGAGCTTCTGAATGAATGGCCTTGTCCTTTTAAGCCAAAACTGTGTGACTACCTTTCCAGTTGCTAACTGCGACCTGCGTCTGTAATTGCACCCAAAGAACTACTAAAACAGTCCCAAGGCCCAAACACTAAGTTAACTTTAATGTCTGTCCCATCTTTTGAAATGTTCAAAGTTTTGAACACATTGTGCAGGACGCTTCGGGCCGGTAGACAAGAAACAGTTGATCTATCGAAGTGAATCTAGACACGCGGTAGTAGCCTTATTCAAGCAACAGAACTGGCGTGAAGCACCGTGTGTAATATTACACGAACCATTTGGAGCTACTTTTTGACCCCCTCATAACTCAAAAACTATTTCACATGAACGTGTCTTTGGCTCATATACAGTGTGAGTCACGTTAAAGTGTACATATGAAAATAGATGAAACTAGACCTATTTTTATCGACAAAAAAGAGGTCAATTTTTTTTTGAGATTTTTTTTTTAATTTTTTATAGAATTTTTTTTCTTCCAATTACTTATTGTAAAGAAAACGTAATAACTTTTAAACTAAGCGGTATATTCTGATATAATAAAAATAATAATAAAAACAGTAATAATGCTAAATAACTGGTGATACTAACAAAATACATAAAATACACAAAAATGGCCAACAAATAATAAAAAATTATACTTTTTGAAAAAAATCTGCTTTTAAATTCATGTTTTTTTTTTGGTTATTTGATAAATTTCTCCAAAAAATGCCCCTATAACAGGTGGTTTTTATAACTGTATTATTCTCTATCGTATTATCTTTGTAAAACCAAAAATCGCATGTCTCTATCCCTATCACAACATTTGCTATGATCGTTTGAACAAAGGCCTGCCACAACATTATTCTCCGCTACAGATAGAGACAATTTTAATTTTAACTAAAATGCTTATTTTACTTCGAAATCTTTTGTTTTTATTTGAAATCTAACTTGTCTTTATCAAAATTACAAATCTAGAGCCATTTTCAGTTTCGTTGTTGACGAAGCTTTGAATGGCGCGCCCGGAGAGGCTTAGTTCAAACGATCATTGCAAACGTTGTGATAGGGATAGAGACATGCGACTTTTGGTTTTACGAAGGTAATACGATAGTGAATAATACAAAGTAATAAAAACCACCGGTTATAGGGGCATTTTTAGGAGAAATTTATCAAATAACCAAAAAAACACCAATTTAAAAGCAGATTTTTTTCAAAAAGTATCATTTTTTTATTATTTGTTGGCCTTTTTTATGTATTTTATGTATTTTTTTAGTATCGCCTGATAATTAGCATTATTACTGTTTTTATTTTATCAGGATATACCGCTTAGTTTAAAAGTTATTACGTTTTCTTTACAATATGTAATTGGAAGAAAAAAAATCTATATTTTTTTTTTAAATGTCTCAAAAAAAATTTGACCTCTTTTTTGTCGATAAAAATAGGTCTAGTTTCATCTATTTTCATATGTACACTTTAACGTGACTCACACTGTATTGAGACTTGCGAGATACATAGGAATAATCCCAACTGCAATAGCTATAAACTATTAAAAGTACCTAGCGTTTATTGCAGTTAATATTTAAAATTACCTAATGAAATGAAATGAAGAATCCTTTCCCCAGTTTACATGAAAAAGATCTTTAGTTATATCTTGAGGAAAATCATTTCCTGCTGATCTTCTAGTATTCTTATAGTAATTCTGCTAAAGACAATATTAATTGTAGTAGTAAACATACCTGAAGCATGTTACTATAGTTACAGTTATTCTATTTAATAACTTTTTCTAACCTTGAAAACTATCAAAAATCAAATGATCCTGCTATTATCTTATTTCCAATAAGATAGACCAACATGAAGTAGATAAACTAATAGATAGAAAAACTAATTCCTTCCACTGTTATCTAATTCCATTGACGCAGGTAAGTATTGTGTTTATTCATGATTGATATCTATAATTAGCCTTGCTATGACATCAATAAATAATAATCAGTATTGAATTAATCATCATGAAATATCAGGAAAGTGAGGTGATGGGCGCTTTATTGGTGTAATTTGTTTCTAGATAATAATCAATCTAAATCGAACAAGAAGTACGCAAATAGTTATACTAACTAAAATAAGAATTACCACATAGAGGCAATATACTTACATATTTATAGTTTATCCTCCACGGGTAACCGCCGTGTAACCTACATGGTTGCATGTATTTATTCTTTTGTACTGAAATCTTTTCTTTTCTAAACTTTTGACCTGGTTACAATAAGCCTATCGCGGTTTTATCTAAACACTACATATTATAATCATAGATTCAAGTAAGAAATTATAATACTATTGTAGCGAAATTGTAAAGAAGACAATTGTGAGATACAAGAGCTAACGTAATGTCTAATGTAAATAATAAATGCATCTTCCTTACATCTAAAATTAGCCACATACAAATCATAGTTGAACAAAGGCCGCCTGTGCCGCTTCGACACTCAACACAAATACGTCAGCATAATACAAATAAACAGAGAAGGCCCAAGAAATTCAGAGATCTTGATGTTAATACTCAATAATTTACTGCATTTCACTCATGTCTTTTTCTTCCTAGCTTTTACTTTTTAATCGCTTTTGGTCCGCGAACAACCCTTTTTGCTTTAAAAGCGCTGCTCCGTCCTGAAAAGGATGAATATCCTCCGTGGAGTTCTGTCATCGCCCGAGTGACGAAGATGAACCGAATCTCGGGAGAACTCATAGATACTGCTCGAGGCTCTTTTCCCTTTGCGCTATAGGTAATTCGCTCCCTAATAATGTTTTGGTCTGCAAACAGTACAGGTAGGGACAATTATTTAACCATAAGTAACATATAATGACTTTCCAAATTAAGTCCAGATTTATGGGAAACTTACATCAATTATGCAGATTATCCTGAGATATTCAATGAAGCGAAGTTGTTGTGATGAAATACTGTCATATTTGTGATCCAGTCCCCTTCAATGAGCAATGAGCCTGCTGAGTATGTTGCTGTGATGTGTCAGACACGTCTTGTTTTGCTAAGATGTCCATATTTTATTTAATTCAGAATTCAAAATCTTTGTAGATAAACAGATACAATAAAGAATACTTGAAAATAGAAGAATTAAGAAGCAAATTAAGACAGACACACGAACGTAGTAAAAAGTAGTTTTAAAACGTAGAAATCAATATTTTATTACTTAGTTGGATGAAAAAAGCGGTCAATTATGTTCTGTGGAGTACCTTGGTGACTGGCATAAGCATTACATATAGCAGTCTACTGCCAGTGGCTGAAAAATGATGACATCTGAAAGAAGTTCATACTTAGGAGTAATCCTACAAAAAACATCTATACATATATGTGGATGCAATCAATCCAAAATACTCATTTGCTATCCATTGATTTTAACTTTTACAAGTTAATAGGGTTGGCACGAATTTAATTGAAAACCTTTTCAAAATCAAAATTAAATCAAAATTAAATCGCAATAAATGGTTAATGTAAGGTTTTCGGTAATGTCGAAACAAACGGGGTACAAACGATATTTAGCTTTGAGAGCTGGCCCATATACAGGGTGGAATTTTGTAATGCCACCTGGAGGGAAAGTACTCTTAATATTGTAGACTAGCGGCCGCCCGCGACTTCGTACGCGTGGATCCCGTTTTACCCCCTTCATCTATCTTACGCGGTTTAGATTTTTTCATACAAATGTTTTTCCCGCTAACTCCCGTTCCCGTGGGAATTCCTAAGTATACTATAACCTGCCCAGGAGTATGAAGAATAATTGTACTAAGTTTCGTTAAAATCCGTCGAGTAGTTTTTGTTTCTATAAGGAACATACAGACGGACCGACAGACAGACAGACAGACAGACAGACAAAAATTTTACTGATTGCATTTTTGTCATCAATATCGATCACTAATCACCCCCTGATAGTTATTTTGAAAATATATTTCATGTACAGAATTGACGTCTCTACAGATTTATTATAAGTATAGATAGAAAAATGTTCTCAAAGAAAACATACGTTTATTTTTGAAATGAAATAGAACTTGCATTCAAAGATTTCCAAAAAAAATATTTGGCACACCCGGGAACCGAACCGAATACACCCTGTATTTTTATTGCATCGATCGTTAAGATCAAGTATAAGGATGAAATCTCTCTAACAAACTTGATAAATCAAATGAAAGGAAATCCATAAAATCTTACATTCTTTTAACCCTTCATTTGGCAAGACACAAATTGTTTGATTTTTTCAATAAAATCTATTTAGACCTAATTGTTACTATCAAATAAAGTTAAGAAAAATAATAAAAAAAATATTTGGTTGGTATTTTCGCGAAAAACGATTGTTGCTTATTTACCACATTGCCAAATAGGGGTACTTAAATAAAACATTGAGATATATTATAGAAATATTTTTTTTATATGTAAATCATAAAAAAATCAATCTTATTTCACATTTTAGGCATTAAACAATTTTTTGGCCATTTTCGCAAAGTCGACAACGACCTTTTTCTCCAACATTTGATAGATGACGCATGTCATCATACTTCACGATCAATATGCCGAGCCAAGGTTCGCTTTTTATTTTCTCTTTAGCTTCTGAAACTGGTATGTTACTGTTATCTGCTATAGTTGTTGACTTCAACACAAGAAAAATGTGTTTATCATTTAAATCAGTTCAGCGGTATAAGCTTGAAGACAGACAACACAGAGTCAGACAGCAAATTCTTCCTCTCTCCTAAAATGCTGTGCCCGACAGGGTCCATAATTGCATCAAAAGTAATTGTATACCATCTCTATAACATTATTCATGTAATATATGATTGATTTATTGGGTATTGACATTCTTTTGTATTAACAAAAAGATAAACCTATTTTGTTAGATGTTTGGCACTGTTGCTTCTAGGCAACATCGAGGTTCGGAAGCATGTCATATATTAGAAAACACAGTTTCTACGCCAAATATTGCTTTATATGATTAGTTTGATTTATTATGAATAAAATTTAGACAAAACAAAAACAATTACAGATGATAATATAGTATAAAATCATGAAACTTCCGTCTTTGTTATTCTCATTGCGCGTCATCTTGGCGTCTGACAGAAATATGAATATGAAATCACTCAAAACTCAGTCGACGACCGATTTACTAGTGTTTTGCTGAACTTAGCTTCGTAACAAAATCGAATGATTTGCACAAAACTTATTATTTGGTGCTGTAGAAATATTCAAAGTGGTTGTTGCTTATAAGCATCACTGCCAAATGAAGGGTTAATTATGTACAGAAAATTGTATAAAATTGTCGAAAATCTATGAATGCAGTTCTCTTTCTTTTCAAAAATAAAGGAATGTTTTCTTTCAGTAAAATTTTCTATCTGCAGTATTAAGAGTACTTTCCCTCCAGGTGGCATTACAAAATTCCACCCTGTATATTACTACAGTCCGGAATCTGGTCTTACGTCATCATGCTCTCGTGACAGGATGAAGAGTGGCGTGGCGATGGCGCCTAAATTGTATCACTTTGCATTGACATTTTAAAATATTTTGCCATAAATCTTTACACTCTAAACCTAAAGGAACGTGCCACTCTGCTTAGTTATAGCTTCGGATTTATTAAAGCTAAAAGCACTTTAGCAAGTAAGGGCCTTTGTCTACAGGCAAAGATGGTTAACGATTTTTAATACTGCAACGCTTGATGGTTTACAGTTAATAAATCACATCTATTTATAAGACGTAACTTAGTGCACTGTATATTATAAATAAATAAAATGAATAATTAATAAATATCCTTGGACATTTTACACTACGCTTCTAGTCCCAATTAAACTAAGCAAAGCTTGTACTATGGGTACCACCAGACAACGGATATAAACATACTTAAAATACTCTTTTTTTGTAAATACATACATACATCTTGATAATTTCGAACCTTACCGAAATTATCAAGATAATTACGCTTCATGATAATTATCGGATAATTATCAGATAATTTTCGGATAATTATCAACTGTATAAGATACATTTGTCTCAATGTTTCATAAGAAATTCTGATGTTACATTGTTTCAAGTCAAGTTTTTGGTTGCTGATTGTTGTCAAGTTATCCATCGCTAGTTGTGGAAAATGGATTAAATAATTTGACGCTAGATAACGAGTGATCGATGTGGAGCTAAATAGATATGTTTATAACTATCTATGTTGAATAACTCTACCTCACCACCAGACCACGCTGAGGTCAAAAAGTGGTTAAATTATAGAAATAAATTACCCAACTAAAACTTAAAATAAAGTCGAGGCAGCCAATCAAGTGTTATTCTTAGGGCTCTATTGGATATTTTATAAATAGTTAAGTTTGTTTTCCTATTTACAATACGTTTTTGTATGGACTTGATAGGCGTTATTTTAATATGTATAGCTAGAGCGATGCTGAAATTAACATCTGTTCAAGATGCCCCGTTAACTACTTTAATACTGCGCTGTACTGTACACAGGCGGAATCGAGCACTTATATTGGTTATATTTAAATCCATAAACCAAACTATTTTTAGATGATACTAAAATAAACTAATGCCCGTTTTCACCATCAATCCCTAATTTTTAAGTCATCCCTATGCAGCTATGGTATCACATAACCGGAATTTTGTTTTTAAAAGGGTCACTGGTGCAAACGGGCATCTAAATGAAATAAGCTGGAACGAATCAGTCTTTCATTAAAAGTAGGATTTCGTATTTGATGAAAACTGTTATACATTTACGTATATAAAAATACCTATGGACTCGTAAATATTAATAGCTATTATTATAAGATTGTTTTAGATTTAATAATATTATTAAAATTTTGGTTTGCCGATTAACATGGTAGAATTCTCACCAGCATCAGACCATTTTGAAATAGGTACATACTTAATTAAATTACAGATGCAATGAGTTCATTTTATTCCTTTACTCCAGTCCGCGAATCCACAGAATTTCGTATACGCGAGCACAAAGCTAATGTGTAACAAAATTAGCGGGAAGATCCAAGTGTGGCTACATAAAAAATACAGGAAAAACATCTGGCACGCGGTATCACACTCGGTATTTTCCTTGCAAATGTTACACAATGCGTCAGCTAGCCTTACTTGCTAGCTGTGCCCGCGACTTCGTACGCGTGAAATTAGTTTGAATATTTTTCCAGATTTTGCAACATTTTTCTTTACTGCTCCGCCCCTATTTGCTGTATAAGTATAGCCTAACTAAAGCCTTCCTTGCTAACTGGGCTATCCAACAGAAAAATATTTTTTTCAAATCGGACCAGTAGTTCCTGAGATTTAAAAAAATCTTCAGTTTTAATGTATAGATTAGTAGTTTTTATAATAAGAACTCGACTAAACCGCCAGGTTCATGTCCGTTTTCTCCGTCAATCCCTAATTTTTAAGTGACCCCTATGAGAACAAAATGCCTGTTATGTATTACCATAGGGGACACTTAAAAATTATTGATTGATGGTAAAAACGGGCATCAGACTCATTTAGCTGGTGAACGTTAACCTACTCGACTAAATTTTTGGTAATCGAACTCGTTTAGCACCCGAATAAATTACTCAACTAGTGCGAACAAGACTTAATCCTTTTAAATGATTCTCTGGTCCCGTTTTTACGTTTATTTGATTGACAATGTTGATGTTTGGATTCCATTATTTTTTTATTTGTAATAGGTATAAGAGCTAATCCACAACCAGGTGCCGTGCGGCACCGGTGCGGCGTCTGTGCGGTGCCTGAGCGGTGCCGCTCCGGTTTTCTACAAGTTTTTTAAAAGATGTATTGTAGCTACACGGCGCGGCGCTTTGATGTGATCGAGACGAGGCAGGGAGGGAGGGGCTGCCTCGGCGAGAGATCAGGAGGGGTGTAAGCAGGGTGACGCCGACAGTATTGCCACTTTGGGGAATTCGGCGCTAGATTTAGGGAATTCTGCAATAGCTCATTGATAAATGTGCTAATAAAAATAAACATGGCGGTGCAGCCAAGAATACGACCGGTCATAATAAAATCTTCAATTTCTTCAAACGTACCTGACCTAGTTTTATAAAATAAAAACAAAATTAATGCAAGCTTTTTATTTAAAAAACATGAAAATAAATTAAAATGCTCAATTTTGCCAATATATTTTGTTTCTATAGCGTACCTAAGTACTTTTATGACTTAGTGTAAAGGTTCAGTTGGATGGAAATTGGGTACTTGGATAATAAATAATTTCAAAATACTTACTTCCACTTTCATGGCACCCAGGTACACAGCACCAGTCCCTAGACATTGTAGTAATCGCGATCAAATACTTAAATAATGGAGTCCTTGTCACTCCACTTAACAAACAGTAGATATTTTAAATTATTCCTCCATTAATAAAAAGTTACACCCTAGTTTAACTCTGTTTTAAAGTTACATTTCCATTCTAAACGTCACTTTAACACAGAGTTCAACAATGGTGTAAATTTTGTTAATTAGAGGGATTGAGTCGGAGGAAAGAAATAATTATATTCAACGTATTAACGGTTTGTAAACACGTGTGTTTGGCTGAAAATAGAAATTGTATGAAATTGTTAGCAAAGTGGCGATCGCTATGGCAACTAGAATTGCCGAAAATTTTCGGCTGTTTTCGGCGAGTACACGTTGGCTAACATCAATAGTGACGTATTTCATACATTATTTTAGCAGTGATAGCACTTACCGCTTAGCAGTCGCCATTTTTCTTATTCAGTGCTTACATTTATGTTTACCGCCAATCACGCACGCGCGACAGTCAAAACAAAACATCTTGAAAACAAGATTGCCATTAGTTAGAAAAACTACCCATTTTTATATCAAGAAAAAACATATTTTCTTTAAATAGACTATCAAATTTTATAATTTTCAATTGCGAATTTCAGCAAATAAAAATGAAGACTAGAAAAAAATATTACATTTCAATAATTTGATGATACCCTATTGTTTGATAATGTCCCATTAATATATTTTATGATAGCATTTTTCCCCTAATTGTTCAGAACTTTTTTTTATAAAGGTAACACTGGATCATTTTCCCTGTATGTAATGCTACTAAATTATAATGTCAACGGGTTTTATTACTTTCTGAATTATATTGTAGCTTTTGAGATTGATCGCATTACTGAATGAGAAAGCATTTTTGGTGTCAAGATTGAGCGGTCTGATTCCAAGTTCAACACTTTCTCCATAATTTCCAAAGTAATTAAATACAACAACAAGTACCAGCATTGTTATTGAAATGGACGCTAAAGCAGTAGCTAGTTCATCGGGTGTCGAGGTGAGTTTGTGTTGCGCTTGTTGTTAACCATAATATTAGGTCCTTACCTATGAAATTAGCTTTTTGTATGAATTTCATGAACATTCAATTTTCCAAACTAAAATTTTTGCGATTGTAAGGAACCACAAATTCTGTGAAATTATGTAGGTAAATTGAAATAACATTAAACTGTAGAAAACATTGATTACGTATCTGTAATAAAAATATTCATATTTTTATAACGGAAACGGACGCCACTTATGACGAGCTGTCTTTGAAGATTTAATTCTAATTAAAAAATAAAAATAAAAATGTATATCAACGGATGGTGCCAGGGTCTGGACCAATTGCTGCCCAGAATCAACCCATAGTGCATTTTGTTCCTCAGGCCAATACTATGTGCCAATACTAAACCGGAGCGCACTGAAACTCCATTTTGAAAATAATTAATTTCGGTCAACTAATCAAACCATTGCAACAGCGTTAGATCGCTTATAAAGAATGTCTAGTAAGTAGCACTAAAGTAAGGTGTATAGATGCAGTATAATTAAGTTCAACATAGCGAGTGTTATAATAATGACACAATCGCGAAATCTTGTGCGTAGTACGTACAGACACGGTGTTACTTTGCATTCTTGCCATATTTACAGAGCTAACTATATGAATGACACTGAACACAAATCAGTAAAAAAACAATGTCCTAAAATTTAGTTTTTTAAACTTGAGTATTTAATTTTATCGACAATCTTCTTTTAATCTATTGGAGTTTTTAAAATTATTCTTGACACTTTTGTAAAAAGCTTACGCCCACTGTTTATTTCAATTGCGCCTGTTGAATGTGCGAGACAAAATTGGTTTATTTCAATATGTACTGCAAAACTAAAACTAAAAAACAGTGTGCTTTCTTTACGGGAGTCTCTCTAATATTACTCTACTAATATTATACATGCGAAAGTTTGGATGTCTGGATGGATGTTTGTTACTCTTTCACGCAAAAACTACTGAACGGATTTTGATGAAAATTTATTGTTTTGTTTATAACTCAGAACAACATTTAGGCTATAATTTATGATGATCTGGGACAAACTAAATTTCACGCGGGTGAAGCCGCGGGCAAAAGCTATGTTTTATAAGGTTTGTTATTTAAATATTCGTCTAATTTATACTAGCAGTTATTCATTGTTTTAGCTTTTTGTTAAATATTGTGTACTTTTGTTCGTTTCATATTTCTAGTGGCAATTAAGTGTATAACTTGATGGCCATGTAATATGGGCTGCTATTTAGCATTTTATTTCTCGTAGTATTATTTCTATAAGTTTTTCTTTATGACGAGTGTTTACGTTAGGAGTGTATTGCATTTTTTGGAATTAATTTATATTTTTTATAAACAATTAATGAGCATAGATCGTGTATATTAAATTTTAAGTCATTATTTTTTATTTTATGAAATACTAGCTTTTGCCCTCGGCTTCACCCGCGTAAAATTTCGTTTGTCACAGATCGTCATAAATGTTATGCTATTATGTTATTCTGGGTTATAAACAATAACACTGTAAAGTTTCGTCAAAATCCGTTCAGTAGTTTTTGCGTGAAAGAGTAACAAACATCCAGACATCCAAACTTTCGCATTTATAATAATTAGTAGGATAATACATAGAATGGTTTCATAGGTAGGAACCTAATACTATGAGCAGGATACATTCAACGTCAAGTTCGTGATACCCAAAGTGTCCAAAAAGTTGTCAACACAACCTTGCTCCAATTATTGTAGCAAAGACGGTGTCACGAATTATTTGAAGCTGACTGTACATAATTAAGTTCACCTATTTCATTATAAGTAATTTAAAATGAAACATTATTTCATTAAAGTTTAAGATTAACGAGAATGCCACAGGTGAACAACCAAAGGTAAGAAATATAGTTTTCAATCAACAAAAATAAAAAATTGGCCAAGTGCGTGTCGTGCCACGCGCAGTGTAGGGTTCCGTAGTTGTTCGTCGTTACCATAATACAGGGTGGCCAAAACAGTGAGGTCTAAAAGAAAAATTTAGGTTCCTTACATCAAGGTGTACCTAAATCACCCCCATATATATTATACGATTGTGCTTAGTTTAGGAGATAGAGTTAATTTTGTGATAGTTTAAAATTTTATGGCTTTAAACATTTTTATCTTTTTTTTGGGTTGACTTTTTTCAGATTTCTTTTTTTCGACAGATTTGTTATGAATTGCAGATGTTTGGAAAAAATAATCACCTTTCTATCTTTGATTCAAGATACAAAAGTTTTGCTAGAAACATTAAAATTATGCTTTTATCAGAACACTATCAAATTTTCAACTTAAAAGTTTAAGTAAAAAAAAGAACTTCCATAGGTCCAAAACCATTTTAAAAACTGCGCCGTTTCCTGAACATTCATAATAATACAAAAAAAGATCTACTTAATAGGCCACTATTTCCTGTAATCGGTCCACTAAAGTGGTAAGTCGGAGATTCCGTTACATGTTTTTGACTTTCTTAGAGTGAATTAATATTGGGAATCCTCTAAGTTTACATTACGTAGAACAGATTTAAAGCAGTAACTGGACAGAACATGTTTTTATTCTCAACGAGGAAGGTCTTGCCCTTCATCACACCTGGTGGAAACTGATGATTATGCTGAAGGTGGAAGGGAACTTCAACTACAAAGGAACTATGGCTTCCTACCTCCAAATATGAATAGGACCGATTCGATTCTGGAACTTGACTGAATGACTGGAGCGGGACTCTGGCTTCGCTTGCTCGGCTCGTGCGTTGTGGTCACAGTTCTAACCTAACCTAAACCAATAATTATGAATTGGACCGATTCGATTCTGGAACTTGACTGAATGACTGGAGCGGGACTCTGGCTTCGCTCGCTCAGCTCGTGCGTTGTGGTCTCAGTTCTAACCTAACCTAAACCAATAATTATGAATAGGACCGAATCGTTTCTGGAACTTTAATATATCGTCAAAGAAAGAAATCTAAACAAAAAACATATGACTTTGAATAATAGTGTAAAATATGGTTATGTTGAGAAAATCTAGGAGAACAAATAAAAGTATAATAGATGTTTATTGCTAATGACATTATGAAGTTGAATGATTCGGAATTATGAACATTAGAGACAGAGTAGTTAGGAATTGTGATTGTTAGGATGAAAAATTTTAGGAAGAACATTTTCGGACTTCCAATTTTCGGAGTTGAAAATTTAGGTGAACTTTGGCGCACCCCATCATCCTTTGTAATTCCACCTGAAGGTAAAGTACTATAAATACTGTAGATAGAAAATGACTCAAAGGAAACATTCCTTTATTTAAAAAAAAGAACTGCATACAAAGATCATGCCGTCCACTCCACATACAATATACACTCGGCATCAAAGAAATCGCACCTCCCGCGACAATAACTTAAAAGATTTTCTTCTGACACAATCATGGTGCCCGACCATATTTGAAAGTCCAATAAATAAACTTAAAGAAAAACACATTTAATTTTGAACAATTAAGGACCATAAATGTGACTTGAAAAAAGCCTGACTTGGGGCTCATCTCTGGGACTTTTTTGTGGTTATAAAACCAAATAATGATCTCACGTGTCCTCTTTAACAGATAGATAGCGATTAACCCCTATTTAACAGTTTTATAACCATAAAAGTTAGCTCGAGCGTAACTAGTGTAACTCCTATCGCTTTAAGAAGAAACACATACTTCTAAAGACACATTTTTGGGGTACCAACCTTTCCTTTAATGAAATAAATCCCAATATTGGTGGGAAGTGTGGATACACACGCTTGATAGTGTTTGTTGCGGGAGGTGCGATTTTTTTGACGCCGAGTGTATTATACAAACTCACTGCCTACTAAGATGTCCAATGTGCAAAATGACTGCATCTGAGTTTAATAATTTGGAGTTAGTTTATCCTAAGCCGCCACCCGAATCAGAAACTATAATATATACTTAGTCCGTTACATGCGTGAATCAGAGTTTCTTTTCTACATTGGATACAAAAATGATCCAGCTGTAAAACAATGGAGAATCGCTAAATCTTCTGATGCTGCTCAAATAACAAACGTCGTGAAAAGGTTATCCAAGACGTTTTTTGTTTTGAACGTCTGTCAATAGACATGTGAAAAAACCGCTGTATTTTAACTGGATAAATACTCAAACCGCAAGAATTATCGACGGGTCGACCCTCCGTTTTCGTTTTATGCATCTGTATTTTTTGAGTTGTTTGGAGTCACTAGCCGACCTCCGCATTATTTCTCTTCTCTCGCAATTATTCCTGGTGTGGCTATTTACACGCCAACAATAGGGTTATTGGTCGACGTTGTTAGGCCTAATACAGGCACTACTAACGACGACAATACCGTCCGTACTGCACTATTCGATAAATACCGGTCAAATTTTGCCGATATTTTGGGTGTTGAACAGTGGTTAGTCGACGATTCATACAGTTTTAGTTGCATCGTCATGTGGTTTAACCAATCGACACCAAACCTTTTATAAGTCCGGGCTGTAATGATTTATTGCAACGTGTTGATCATTTTTTTTATCGGCGGAACATAAAACTTTTAAGTGGCTCCAAAGCCATAATAAGCAAAACACATTTCATGCTGTCATCGGCTCTTCACAAGATTACACTAAAGTGATTCCAGTTATTTACGCTTTGTTACGTAACAAACAGCAACACACATTTGAAGCTATAAAAGAATGTATTCCAAACTTTTAGCCAAAATTTATAAAAACTGATTTCGAGTTGGCTGTGATAAACGCGATTGCAAAAAGTTTTGAATCAGTTTCGGTCACTGGCTGTTTTTTCCATTTTGCCCATGCTGCTGTGTGGAAACACGCATCGGATTTGAATATTTCCAATAGCCGTGAGGGCTGCAACTACGTGGCGCAATGTATTTCAGTTGCTCATTTATGCCGAACACCAAAATACTTGAAGCGTGGATTAACGTATTGGAAAAAGCACCTTCTTTCTATAAAAGGTATTGAAGTTATT